GGAAAGAATCAGCAGAAGGGCTACCATTACTTCATCACTAATTGTTGGGACTAATTGGGACCACCTTTCCAATCATTTCTTATTTTCCCCAAAGTGTTAAAAGCCTTTTTTTTCTCTTTGTGGATCTTCTATAAGGCATCAGAATCACCTTTTTGATCCCTACAAAGTCGTGGATGGGCTTCAGTATACCTCTCTCCTTCAATATACGTAGCTAGCTATATGTATGTGTGTATGTTCATCAGGTTCCTTCCTCAATGTTATCCTCAACCAAAGGATCAAGTTCTTTTCATATCAGTTGGGGTAGTATTGTATTAGGTCCCTACATCAGTTAAGTATGGACTAGACTTTAATGCTACTAGTGTTTACCTTTATCTTGTAAGTCGATTTTCAAGGATAAGTACTGTAAATGAGTTCATATTAATGTATAACTGAGTTCATGAAGAAAGTTCCATCAGCATACTGGCAAAGAATAAGAAGACAAAAGCAAGAACTCAACACTGGACCAGTTAAAATGTCATGGGATCGATTCTCGACTGCGAATACACAGTGCTGAGAAACATATCTAGTTATCTATGCACTTTGACTTTACAAACCCATTGTGTTCCAAGATATCCTAACTAGTGTAAACCAAAAGTAATTATAGAATACAATTTGACACTTAGGAGTGATGATAACAATTAAATCTTCAATCTAACTAAGAAAATATGCACTCCATCGCTATCGTTAAGAGAGCATTATGAAATGTTGCTTGTCCAAATGTTTCAGACCTCACCTAGGTAGAGTCGAAACAAGAATGTTAATATCAGGCATATCTAAAAGTTATATATGTATAGAAATTCTTTCCGGGTGGGCAACAACTTGTTTACGTGAAGACAGAAATGGAATGGAGATCCATCAATCACCTTTAACTTTGCGGCCTTTCCCCCCCCCCCCCCCCCCCTCCCCTTTTTGTGGGGAGAGAGAGGTGGGGGGATGTGTAAACGTTGTCAAATCTCCAAACCCAATCAAGACATTCGATTTAAGCCACCAGTATATATTCCCTTTACTCAAATATCAACACGTCCAAGGACAACCTAGATTGCAGATTTCAACCTCACTGTTGTCTGCATTTCAAAAGAGCATCCACAATGCACATCATTGGTAAGTGTGAAAAGGACAGCCTCCCACCCTTGCGAGATCTAGAGATTATTAGTTATATGCAGCCTAACATAGACTATTTTCATAACTCAAAACACGCGATGTCAAGAGAACAAATAGATTCATTCAATTACCTTCGTCAAACGCAACTGGACGCATGCTAAACAATACCACAAAAGCATACATATCAGCACGGGCAATGAACACATTCAGATGAACTACTCCTACAAGAAAAAAGACAACACATTCATAATCTACTTAATCAGTTGAAAATCTTCTAATTATGATTTGAAACAATGGATAGATTTCGAGTTCTATCTAGAAATAGATAATATACACATAAAAACACAAACAAAAGATTTAAGGTTTTTTTTGAAAGACAAATCACACTGTTAAACTAAGAAATACAGTAGCACCCCTCGACTTAGTTACACTTCCAGTTATGCAACAATTAAAAAGAAAGCACCAATACAGCATGTCATTCCTCTTGCTTTAGCAAAAATTGTAATACAACCCCCTATTTATTAGGGCTACAAAATAAACCATAGTATTTTAAAAAGTTAGAAACCAGGCAATAACAGGTTCACAACATATTTGCCTCTTTAGAATTTCCATATGAAGAACATCATAATAATGTGGTATGTTACACTTCCACGTAAACAGAGCCAATATCTCGTCTTTGCAGCTTGGATTATGCCGCTTTATAACATAAGGCAACACAGATCCACAGCCCCTTATTGCTAATTAAAGTTTCTCCTTGAAGCAAAAAAAATGCGTATAAATTGAAGCCATCTTCATAAGTGATCAGCTTCACAGCTAATCCAAGGTGTTCAAACCTCTGTGATCAACCTACCTGTACACAAGAAATATCCATCATAATATAGGACAAACATACAGACACATGCATAAAGCGCATGCACCATGAACACAAAAAAAAACACTGCAAAAAAAAAAATAAAGAAAATAAAAGGCAGCCAGTGTACAAAGCTTCTACCGTTGCAAGTCTAGGAAGGGTCAAATGTGCACAACATCCACCCCTACATGTATGCCCCTACATGTAGAGACGACGTTTCTGCGACTCAAACCCATTACGCAATGTCACAATGGAGCAACTTTTTGCAGCGACAAGGCCCACCCTCTCACACGAGACAAAAAACTGTATGAAAAGTTCAGCCAACATACCTTGTGTAGACATGTTTCTGAGTTGCTAGGGAAATCAAAATTGATTATCCCCTTGTAATCTTCAATCCTATCACATAAAAAGGCAAAAGAAGAATTACACTACAAATCCTAAACAAGAAACCATGGATAATAAGCTTTGGGATAAAGAACAATCAGAAATAGAAGAAAGCATCAATTGTCACTATTCATTACCAATCTAGCTTAAACCTCGATTTGACACCTGAACCAAAGCCTACTTGAGCATTGAATATCGCCAAGGCTTAGAAACTCCATTGTAAAGTTTTTCCAGCTATTTTCTTTCAGATGCAAAAACTTAGTTTTTTTCGTAATCTAAATAATAATTCATTCTTATTAGTAATTTAACCTTGCAATTGGCATCATTCCTGTCCAACCAGAACTTTCATCTAGGACAAGTATGCCGCAGTCATGAAACACTTACTTGCATGGGTTAACTCAATGGGAGATGCCATCTATTAGTAGTCAAATGTATTTGTCCACTCTTTGGAGAATAAGTGGACAAAAATTGGACAAAATATTTAGAGAATTAGCATGATGTGATAGCTTCATTGTTTCGGCTTAAAGGACAATTTACACCAAGGTGAGCACGGAGGGAAAAATGTCAAGCGGAGCCAAGATTAATTGTAACAATTAAGCAACTAAAATTAGATCCTTAAATCTAATTACAGCTCTTCATTAACCAGGCAGCAGCATTTAGGATGAAGACAGCACTCACCACAAAATGTCTGGAAAGAATCAAATAGAACCCCACCCACCACCACCAGGAGTTAAAATCTGCAGAATTTCCCCAGCCTGCACCTCGACTGTGTTTTTGCCTCCGAGGTTTACCCTACGTTTATCTTTTGTAAAAAGGTAATTAAATCCCCGAGCTCCATCATTTCCTCCCTTCAACCCTCTTGGTGCATGAACACGCCTCTCTGAAAGAATGCTCACGACAACTGGGCGCCTAAATTCTATCTCCCTATCAAGCCCATCACCTCCTTTATGAAGTCCAGCACCTCCACTATTCTCTCTTAACCCAAACTTATGCAAAAGAACCGGATATCTCTGTTCAAAGATCTCTGGATCCGTCATACGTGTGTTAGTCATATGGCACTGGACCCCACTGGTCCCATTCCAGGTGGGGCCAGCCCCACTTCCACCTGCAATGGTTTCATAGTACCCAAAAGTTTTGTCCCCAAAGGTGAGATTATTCATGCAACCCTGAGAACAAGCACAAGCTTGAAACGCAGTAAGCACAACGTCAGTTATTCTCTGAGATGTCAGAACATTACCTCCCACAACGGCAGCCTTATCACTAGGAGAAAGAAATGAACCTGTCGGGATATGGATCTTAACAGGAGCCAAGCAACCTTGATTGAGAGGAATATCAACATTCACCAGACAACGGAGGCAGTAAATGACTGCAGCAGCTGTCACAGCTTCCGGGGCATTCCAATTTCCGTAAACTTCTGGGCTGGTCCCAGAAAAATCAAAAACTGCTTCTCCTTTCTCAGGATCAATGGTAAGTTTCAAGTGTATAACAGATCCATCATCCATGTAATCCTCTTCTTCAATGGTCACTGAGTCTCCACCTCCAAACTTGGGTGACTTGGAATGAACTCTAGCAGCGACTGACTTGAGCATTTCTTTCACTGCTTCTTCTGCATTAACCTGCACATAGGTCATGTAAGCCTGAACAGTCTCCAAACCATACTGCTCAATAAGCTCCTTGATAAGAGAAATCCCTCTCTGATTTGCAGCTACTTGTGCATGAAGATCTGATAAATTATCTTGAAGCCTGCGCGTTCCTGGGATGTTATGAGCCGATTCATCAGAAGGGAAACGGAGAAGTTTGGTGATCCCTTCTTCTTGAAAAATGCCATTCTCAACAAGCTTGTATGCTTTTATCGCAGCTCCTTCTTCCCATATGGACTTTGAGAAAGGTGGCATACTTCCGGGAGTAATACCACCTATCTCTGCATGATGTCCTCTACTCGCAACGAAGAATACCAGTTTCCCACTATCAAAAACAGGTGTGATAACTGTTATGTCAGGTAGGTGGCTACCTCCAGCACAAGGATGATTTGTAACCAAAACGTCTCCTTCATTCAAATTGTCACCCCAATAATTGAGTTGCCACCTGATTGTGCTGGACATAGCTCCCAAGTGCACAGGAACATGAGGAGCATTGGCCACTAGGCCTCCATCAGGACCAAAGAGAGCACAAGAGAAATCTAGCCGCTCTTTAATATTTGTTGATATCGAAGTTCTCTGAAGGGTGCGCCCCATCTGTTCAGCTATTCCCATAAACCTGTGATTGAAGATTGAAAGCTGCACAACATCCGCAACTTTTTCTGTTAATTTCATGGTGCTTAAAGTTGAACCAATATCAATTTTAATGTTTCCATATTTGGTAATAATAGCTTTACAGTTGGGTTCGACTATCACCGTGCTATTACCATTCATGATAATTGCAGGGCCAGGCATTACATGCCCATATCCCAGATCCTCTAGTTTAAACAAAGGAGTATCATGCCATTTATTTCCAAAGTAAACATTGTAGTGGCCTTCAACTTTAGGGGCACCTGAGGCAGGTTCTAAGGCCCTTGGCTTCAATATATTAGTTACTCCAACACCACGAACCCTTACATCACATATAAGGATGTTCCTATTTTGTAGTTTGAACCCATATTCTTGCTGGAAAAGCTTAACAAATTCGGTAGCGTAATCAGCTCCCGAGCCGTGTTCATTTCTCGGTCTCTTTACCATGATTGCAGTATCTGTACCTTCATACCTTAAATTTAAATATGTCTCAGTTGTAATATTTTCCTCTTTGAACCCTTGCTCTTGCAGCTTCTGATTTACCTGTTTCAACAAAATACATTCTCTACGAGATGCCTCTAGGACAGATTCAGGACCATAAACAGCAGAATATGGTTCCTGTGCCTCTTCAACGACATCTGCCAGTCCCATGCCATATGCACTTAAGATCCCACAGAACCTGTGAATGAGTACCTCTTTCATACCCAGTGACCGAGCAATGGCACAGGCATGTTGGGGTCCAGCACCTCCAAAGCAAGCAAGAGCATGGTTCTTTGTCTCATGGCCCTTCATCTCTGTTAGTTGCCGTATTGGACGGCACATGGTCTCATTGGCAACATTCACGAAACCCTGGGCAATCTCCTCCACCATCATGTCCTTTGTGGATGAATCTTGGCTCTTTCTGTAGAAATTAATCCGCTCTGCAAGTTTCTCAAATTCTTCTGTAGTTGCCTTGATATCTAAAGGCTGATCTTCGAGAGGGCCAAAGATGGATGGGAAATGATCAGGTATTACAAATCCCAAAATAAGATTTGCATCTGTCACTGCCAATTCTCCTCCTTTCCGATAACAAACTGGACCTGGGTGTGCACCCACGGATTCTGGTCCTACCCTAAAAGCTCCTAACTGAAACTTCAACTTTGACCCACCACCAGCGGCAACAGTGTTTATGTCGAGCTGAGGTGCTTGGATTATTGCTCCGGCAATCTGGGTTTCTAGAACTTGCTCATAGCTTCCCGCATATCGGCTAACATCAGTAGATGTACCACCCATGTCAAAGCCTATGAGGGGCTTGTCTGTTTCAAGCCCAAAAAGAGTTTGCGAGTAACCAACGACGCCACCTGCCGGACCCGACAAAACTGCTTTGTGACCTGAAAATCTGCTTTCTGGTGCTAGTCCTCCATCTGATTGCATGAACAAAACATTCACCTTCTCAAGCCCTTCATCAAATTTGGATATGAACCCTAATAGGTATTCTTTGATGACCGGGGTCAGGTATGCATCCACGCTTGCAGTGAGACCCCGAGGAACAGCTCGAACCATAGGAGTCAAAGCAGACGATAAGGAAACATGTCTGAAGCCCAAACTCACAGCTAACTTTTCCACAGATATTTCATGCTGAGGATAAGTGTAAGAATGTATTAACACAACAGCCAAGCAGCTAATTCCTTTTTGCAATAGATCTTTTAGCAAAGGCTTTAGAGCTTCCTCATTGAATGGCTTCACAACTCTGACAAACTCACCCGAAACACCTTTAACTAGTGATGCCGAAGAATCTTGGCTTAGTTCTTCGTGGTCAAGAACAAGTTCAATTCTCTCGTCAACCTCTATAACCTCCTCATAAAGATTTGAAGGTTTTGATACAGTAAGATCAAAGATATTTGGGCGAGCCTGGGTACCAATCTGCAGGAGATCCCTAAAGCCTCGAGTCACACATAACGCAATCCTCTCCCCTTTCCTCTCCAATAGTGCATTTGTTGCCACAGTCGTACCCATCCTTATCCACTCTATCTTATTTGTGGGTATTTTTGTACGACGGGAAATATTCTCACCAGTAAATTCCTCCAAAATCCTCCTGATTCCTTCAACTGGAGCATCATCATAATTGGATGGGTCAACAGACAACAGCTTCATAACTCGGCCTTCAGACTGACCCGGAATTTCAGCGTAAACATCAGTGAATGTACCCCCTCGGTCGATGCAAAACCTGAGTTTCTCTTCATTGACACTCCCCATTGGTCAGCACCGAGAAAGCAATATAGCGTAGTGGTCCTTAATTGCAAGAACTGACTTGGATAGTGTGAATGAAATGGTTCAGAAATAATAATCTGAAAATGAAGGCAGACTCCATTAGAGTATCACATTACAAATTCCATTCCATCACCAAAAAAAAAACTTAACAAGAAAACAGAACAACGAAATATAAAGCTAAAAAAACACTCCAAAATCACTCTAATGACTTCTTGAATTAACTTGAAAGTTTGGTGTTTGCAATGGGCCTAGTTCCAGAAGATAATAGATCCTACAGTTCCCCATTCAACTTCAAGCAATCAACACCCTGTATTTTATCAGGGTTCCGATTCGGTACCATGTAGTTCGAAAAGATGATAGATCATAACCAATTTCAATCCCAAGAAACAGTAACAATTCCGTGAAAAAGCTAAGCCCAAGTTCAGTTCCGAAAAAAATTCAGACGAAGTTCATTTCCAAAAAGATTATTAACGATAATGTCCAGACCCAATATAACTCGGCCAAATTCTGAATTTCAAACGAAATGGATAGTGAAACTTCGGTCGACAGTGTACAAATTCAAAAGAAAAATATAATTTCAGTTATTCACAGTCAAAGACAATTTGGACCGATCAAACTCAATACAACAGTGCGACATACGCGAGAATTTTCTGCCCCAATTTCATTCGCAATAAAATTTTGGACCTGTGTGTGTGTATATCTAACATATATGTACTCTGTGTGTGTATGTGAGAGAGAGAGAGAAACTTGGGAGCGGGGAGCGGGGAGAGAAAATTATACCTGACATAGGCCGGAGATGATATATCTAGGTGCCGAGGTCTTCGCCGGTGTTCACCCGTCCTGGAGAGAGAGAGAGAGAGAGATTTGTGGGTATTGAGCTGCTTCCACTTTTGATTGCTAGAAACTGGAATTTCATTCCTCGGGTCATCACCAACCTCTAAATTTGTGTAAAAAAATTTACTTTGGATTCAAAACCTTACTCAAATTTTGAGTATTATTTAATTTTTAATTGCAAAATTAATAGTCATTTTTATTCTCTTTTAAATTTAGATTTGTCTTCATTTAAATTTGAGTTACTTTGTTTTTTACATTTTAGTTTGTCCATTGATACCTTTTATTCAAATATTAATTAATTTAAATTTAAATAAAAATTTGATTCTTAGTTTGGGATCTATACTTACATAAAATATTCTACTTAAATTTCGGCCAAATGATACTTTTCTATAAGTTAAGGTGTGTTTGTTTAGTTATTAAGATTGGAAAAAATATGTTTGAGCCCACTTTCTTTCCTTTACTCTCATATTTTAAACCCAGTATTCTCACTTAGAAATAATTTAGGATGAATACTGTATTTATAGCCACATACATCTTCGTAAATAAACCCATTAAATAGTTTGGTTGAGGTATGTTTTAGTAAAATATATTTTTTTGGAGAATTTTTTAGTAATTTAATGTTTATACCGTCATTCAATATTTCATCCAAACAAACTATTTTGATGAGATAAATCTGGGGGCTCACTACTTCTTAATACTTAAACCAAATATGAGATGAAGATGTATTATCACTATAATTAGTCTAAGGCCCAATGGACGGGTTAATCCAATCTGATCCTTAGTCAAACATAAAATATAGGAATGTCCTATGTTTTTAGAAAATCGGGTACAAAATTTTTATTAGAAATACTTATAAGGGTAAATTACACTAACACCCCTATAGATTGGTCTAACTATAGAGACACCCCTTAATTTTTTAAAATTACATTGACACCCCCATCAAGTCTTATCCTTTAACAAATATAACAAAAAATACAATTTCCATAATTACTCTTATCATCCATCATTTTTCACTTATCATCCTCTCATATATTTAGATACTAACAAATAAGTTATTTTCAGGTTCAATCCATTAAACTCGAAATTGACACGACCAACTCGTTTATTTAATCGTGTCGAACTTCTTTTATCTTCTCATTTGTAAAATAACATGAACAATACGAAATTGACACGATCAATATACTTAAGTAGTATTATAAAAAAATATTAATTATTTATTTATGTTTATTAAGTACCGACATAATTATTATATAAAAAATATATTTTTACTCATTATTATTGTTATGTTTATTAAGTTAATTTTTAGTTTATAGAAAAAGTATGTGCGTGAATATTAAGTGATAACAGAATCTTAGAATTAAATCTTAGTGTTAAATTTGTTTATTCAAAGTTTATATGAGTCAACACGAATATGAATACACCCGCACCGGTAGCCTAGTTATATGGAGTTGAACTCAGACAAACCGTAGACTCGGACGTCAGGAATTTGACTCTCACAGGTGTCTCTCGGGCTTAACCGATACCTGTTGTTGTGCATGATTGTAGGTATTCAGAGCTTATTCTTGTAGGGATGAGTCCAAAGTGGCCATGTCTTGAGGAAGTTCCACACTATATTAAAAAAAAAAAAAAACCAAGAATATAAATACGAATATAACACAAAAATAAATAGGCAAACCTGATTTTATTCAGGGGTAATATGAGAATTAAAGTATAAAAAGTTGAGGATCTAATCACTTTTTTGACATTGTCAATGTTAACCAAAGAGGTACTTTGTGACAGGTAAACAGTAATGGGGTGTCACTGTAATTTCAAAAATTGAGGGGGTGTCTTTGTAATTAGGCTAATCTATTAGGGTGTCAGTGTAATTTATCCTACTTAAAATTGAGTATTATATCAATAGAATTATGACAAATAAAATAAAGGAAAATTCTCATTTGGAACCTCAAAAAAATTTAATTTTTTATTTTGTCCTTTCACTATATTGAAAATGTTGAAATGTAATCTTTCTATTAATTTATGTTTTTTTTTTCGTTAAAAATCACTCTATTGAAGTGGATGGAAGGAATAATGAACATTAATGGAAGGGTCAAATTATGATACTTTTAATATATTAAAAGTATAATATGAAAAATTTAATCTTTAAAATTACAAAAAATTCTTAAATATTTTTGGGAGCAAAGTATGATTCACCCTAAAATAAAAACATTGTTTAAAAAGGCAACGGATCATTTAGTTTTGGCTACTATTTTTACTTTTTTTATTTGAATAAAGGATCAATATAAAAACTTTAATACTTTAGAGTGCAAATTAAAATTTTGAGAATGTTTTAGCCTGTAAAGTGTTACTCAACCTTAAATATAGAGCAAACTTCATTTTACCCCTTGGGTTTTTACTCAGGTTGCACATAACCCAATAAGCACTAAAAACTTCATGTTGGGTTGGGTTATTTCAAGTTGAGTTAGTTTTAGGCTTGTGTCAAAAAATCGTAAAGACGAACCTCACGTATTTAATAATCGTATCAAAATACGTAAATATTAACCTGATCTGACCATGTTACTCGAATTTGACATATTTAACACGTTTAATAAACAGATTATTTTCACATATTTAATAATCGTATCAAAATATGTAAATACTAACATGATCTGACCATGTTACTCGAATTTGACATGTTTACCACGTTTAATAAACAGATTATTTTCAAGGTAACACATGACATGTTTAATATGTTTAACCCGATCTGTTTAACACCTTTTTAGTCCAAAAAAAAAAAAAGATTTAATTGAATAAAATTCAAAGAATTACAAAAAGCAAAAAGATACCAATTCCTAACATTAATTTCCAATTAAATGGCTTTAACCCTTCAAAACATATAAAAAAAAAAACCAAAATTTTCTTCAATCGGCACTAAAAACAGCAACTTTCAATGCCTGCACAATCATTCTAGCTCTAGATCTGCTCCAGCAAGGCCAACAGCCTCCTACTGTAGGATTCCTACACCCCCCAATTCATCCATGATCATCAAAAACCAAAACATCTTTTGCTCTCAAAACTGGTAAACATCTCTGATCCAAAACCAGTTTTCGAAGCACAGCAGCAGGCAGCTGATTGGACATAGAAAATCACGGTTTAAAGCTTCAAGCACAACATTACAGTCGAATTGTACTGCTCGAAGCACAAAAACACGGTTTAAAGCTAAACACAGGGAGAGAGAGAGAGAGAGAGGGGCGAACCTTTTCGGTTGAGCAATGACGAGGGCTTGAACGAAGAAGGCTTGAACAATGAAGGCCTGAACGACAAGGGCTTGAACCTTTTCAGCTGAACAGTGAACCATCCCCTCCTCCTCCAGACCATCGGCAGGTGTTATTGAAAAAGTGGAAAAGGCAAGGAGGTTAGGGTTGTGTTTTTTTTTTTGGCATTTATATATTTGGATAAATGGCTTAAACTGATAATGAATGAGTGAATTCGGCTTCGGGTCAAATTATATCAACTTGTTTAAAATATACGTGTTAATGGGGTCAAAATTAGATTGACAAGATTTCGACATGAATTCAACATATTTTTTTTGTTGTTTAAACGTGTTAACCCGTTTTGATTCATTAACCCATTTAATTTCGTATTTGATCCATTAAATTCGTGTTCGATTTGTGTCGTATCAAAAATTAACAGCTCACAGAGTTTGTGGACGAAAATGCGTTGTTATAGTTTCTTTTTAATTAAATTGTTCGTTTGATGCACTCTTCTATGGGTTCATTTGTTTAGCGGAGAATGGTAGAAAATGTAAGAAAGAGAAATTTTTTAAATCTCTTTATGTGTTTGGTTAGCATGAAATGAAAAATGATAGAAAAAATAATTTTTTTTCATATTTGAATTTTCTTACAACTTTTTTTCTTATAAAAAACATAAGGAAATGCAATAAAGTTGTGATCTATGTCTAACTTTTCATTTTATCTTTATTTTTCTTAAAATATTTTATTGGTTATTAATTTTAAAAAATATTGGTATGGATTTCATTAACTATATAATTTGGTCCATAGTATAATTTGGTCCATAGAATTTCGGGCGGGTGATTGTTATACAATTAGGTTACAAGCCACTTTTTTTAAAAAAATTTAACTTTCAATTATAATACATTTTTTTCTTCTTCTTTTGGCCGATTTAATAGAATTAAGAATAATTTAGATAATTAGAAAAATTTTATTGTAATTTTATTTTCTTTCAAACAATAGAATGAATTTTTTTTTTAGACTTTCTTGCAATTTTTTCATCCTAATCTAATCCATGCATGAAAATATATTTTTTTATCATTTTTTTTTTCACTTCTCTTTCTATCGTTTTTTTTTCTTTCTAACCAAACGGATCCTACGGTGAGAATAGATGTGAAAAGTTTATTTTTAAATGATAAAATTGCCCTCAATCCAAATGAAACTTTGTTTTTCGGATTGAGATTATGTCTATTAATTTTTTTTACCCAATTTTACTTAGTGGTAAATCATCTATCATGTGTTTATATAAGATCTATTATTTATACGTAGACCCCTCATTTATACATGATGTGTGATTTATCGTCGAATAAAATTGTGAAAAAAAATTATTACAGCACCGACCACCCAACTTCTTGTCAACAGCCACGATCATCCACCTCCCAATTAACAACGGCGACAACCCGCGACTATCCACCATCAACATTTGTGGTGACCAATGTCCACCCAACTCCTCTTTTCCTCAACAATCTCAGCCACTCACCATGACTAGCGCCCATCCCTTCTACCCAACGACAACCAAGAAACCATTTGACAAATGTTGGGAAAGTAATTCTTCAGAATACTATCTTGTGTCATCAAGAACAACCCAGAGAGAGAATAAACAAAATAGAATAATAATTGGAAGTGGTCAAAAGGAGAAACTGACCTCCAAATCTCTTGCGAATAATGTGAAAATTTTTCATCAGCAGATGCTTTTCTTGAGGAAAGTCAAGTTTCCATCAATGTCTAACTTTTCATCTCATGTGGTTCCATTCTATTACTTGGTTTGGTTTTTTGGTGGTTTGATTTTGATTTTCGTTAGCAATTTAATTTCGGTTAAGTTTTGATTCAATTTTAATTTTTTTTTTCTGGATTAAATTCGGGATTTTTTTCAATTTTGGATTTTTGGAGTTCAGATGTTGGGATAAAAACCTCTACGAAATTGAGGTTGAACTAAATGGAATTATGTTAAAATGGTGGCACATTGGTGGTAGAATGTTGCGCTTGCTAAATTCAGAGTATGAGGAAGGATAGAAAGAGATGCAGTTTGGGTCTTGTTGTAGAAGATATGGTTAACGTTCGAGAAGAAGGAAGGAGGGGTTATTAAGGTCATTTTAATTTTCCGTCAACCGAGTTATTGGTGCATTTTGATCCAATAATTACAAAGGGACTATGTGTTATGTTTTTGTTAGGCACTTTAGATTTTTATTTTTTGGGTTCAAAAATTAAGAATATTCAAACAAGTTTATTTGCACCACAACTCTTTTTTCAGTTCGATCAATCATAGATCATAATCTAGGCTCAAGATTCGAATCGAGGGTTACGACCTAAGCTTAAGGATAGTCAAGTTTTGAATTCAAAAAATTTAAATTTACAATTTATCTATGATACCACTTGAGTTATCGCTTAAAGTTATCAGAGGCGACATGAGTCTAGCTTTTAAACTTCTCAAAGTACCAAACAAAAAGTGTTTTTGGTACATAGTCGAATTGTGTATAGATTGTTAGGAATTGAAATTATAAAAAGAAAATTTACATTCACATCCTCTATAGTTAGACATATATTGAGAGACACTACTTATATTATCTGAAATTTCACTACTTGGTAAGTGTTAGTTGGAACTAAAAAATGGACATCTTTACATTTCTACCCTTAATAAATAATATAAATTTTATTCGTATCCCCTATAGTTTATCATCTTTAAAAACACCCCTTATATTTTTAAAACTTTAGTTCAAACCTTGACAATCACTTGCGCTAGACCACAAGGGATTTATCTCTCATAAATATTCTAGTCCCGGTGTATAGTATCTATCTTTGATCAGACCAAGGAGGGTATGTATAAATTGGCCCGGGCACCCCGACCGTTGAATAAAAAAATTTATTTTGAGAGAGAGAGAGAGAGGGAGAGGGAGAGAGATTGGAACCCATGTTTAATACTGCACCTTTATTTCGTTGTGGAATACAAGCAAGGATACAAGTATCCACTGATAACACTGAAGACAGCCATAGAGTTATGAATGTCTATGTGTATACTACATTCAATACATCCATATCATAATTATAGCGTCGCTCAAGCTACTTATTTTGTTGCTGATTTGCCAACCATACCCTGCAAGAATAACGAAACTTGTTTTATTCTTAAACCAACATATTTAAAACAAAAAAAAGAAGTAAAGAAAAAGTAAGTAGCCTATTAGCCTATACGTGCTTTGTTAGTTGAGTGATATTTCAAGTTTATATATAACTTGGCATTCAAGTATCTATTTCCAAAGAAACTTAGCACCTGGCATGAACCTAAGTTGAGTGGTCTATTGACTAAGTAAGGATGACATTTTTCGACACGCCAACATAACAAAATTAAGATGCACTTAGTGGGCGAGAATTGATTAATTCTTCATAGGAACTCAAATAATAAATGGATTAAGTTAATATGGAAAAAATAATTTCATTTTCATATGAGCAACTCATTTAACAGTTATTGTACGAAAAAAAGAAAAAAGAAAAAAAAATGTCTACTTCTTAAGTTCTTTACATGGTAATCATAAAATCTTTGTAGGGGTTTTGTACTTTGATTTAACTATCGTATAAATTGAATGTATTTTTAGTTTATAGATACCCTATGGGTGGTAATGTTTCTAGCTGAAAGGAATGAATATTGATCATAGGTTTTTCGATCACACGCCATGCGTGTTAATTCGAACAAGACATATTAATAAATAGGTTGGACTAGTATTAGAATATCTGACATGATTGATTAAATAAGTTAATTAAAATTGACTAATACTCGACTTAAAATAACAGGACCAAAATTATGCTAATATACTATGGGACACTCTTTAGATTTTGAAGGATAAATGTACTAATTCGTCAATTTTACAGTACTCATGCATGCATGCATATAACTAGCTAGGTTATACAAATGGCTACGTACCCTCTTCTTCGGCTCGCGAGGCTTTGCCTCCGGCTTTGCAACGGTTGTCTTGGGAGCCGGGGCTGTGGCCGATGCCGGTGCTGGTGCTGTTGCCGGGGCAGGTGCCTTGGGTGTACAAGAAGTACAACTGCTAGCTTTGGCAGGGTCTTTCTTGGCCAGCCCAAGAGGTTTCTCAGCCTTCAATGATGCCATACTGGTCTGCAAAAGGTTAAAGGAACTCAAATACTTAGCTCTCTTCAATTACTGTCTTCTCTGAAACTCCTCTCTATTTATATCCAACCTCCTCTTCTAACTTGCAGGGAATTAGTTGTAATTTGATCCATAAAATTTATAACTTAATCCAAAAGGATTATTACTTTCGGTAGCAAAGTCTTTTCCTACACAAAGGTCGCACATAAGGAATAAAAAAAAAGCAAAAAGATAGCATATGGGGCACTTATCTTATAGGATTAGATGCTTACTTTTGCTTTTATTCCTCCTCGATAACACTAAAGAGTCTCTTTTCACACATCATGTGACAATGATATTATGAGTGGTGGTGCCGGCGGCGGAGATAGATTGGTCCCCAAGAACCAATGCCTCCCGAATCTCAAAAATTAAATTTTTAATCACAAAATTTTATGTAATTTATATTCCGTCCCCTAAAGTATTTACATTTTCATTTCATATTTTTATCTGGATCCCCCACAACCCACATTTTAAAAAATTCCTCTAACTGCAAAGGTTTTAAAATGAACCTATGTTTCTCCTTAGGTTTATTAAAAACTCCATGTATAAGTAATTTTATTTAGTATAATTCTTCAGCTAATGCAAAAAAAAAAAAAAAAATTAAGTTCAAGCATGAGAAAATATATTTAAGATTCAAGACTAGCTTATTATATAAAATAATAAAATTAAACTTATTTAGCCTAAACAAAATATGAACAAAAAAGACGCAAACATAATTTTTTTAGAACATTTCAATTCAATTATAAATTAGAGTGGAACACAACACTCTTAAAATTTTTAAAACTATCTATAATTAATTAATTCTAAGCTAAATTTTTACTTTTTTTTATTTCACAATCACAGAGTGCGTAAGAAAATCATTATTTATTTTGTTGCGGAACCTAATTGAGATTATTCTCCATCTTGTTAAAAGAATTATTAGAAATATCAAATTATATACTTTTTGTACAAACATTTTATCTTTTGCATCATGTTTTATTGAGTTACGGCCTACCAACTTACCTTCAAATGGTAAATGAAAATCATATGACCGTATTTTTCTATTCTCCGTCGTTACTTGTTGTCTATTTCTCAGTTGTCTCTCTTTCTCTCTCTACCTGTTTTTCAACCGTTACTCTCTTTCTCTCTTCTCCCCGCGTATTCACAAATTGGTCTCAAGAACAAACAATCATGTTGCTTTCTTCACCTTTCCTCTCCTTGCATGTCTCTCTTTACTTTTCTTCTCCCCCATTTTCTTTCTTTAATTACTGGAATTCAATTATAGAATTTAGTTACGATTGAAAATCCTTGCTCTTTCTGCCATTACAAAATTTAGTTAACAACCCCTACTCTCTTTCTTTTAATGTTTTGGTTGTGACTATACACATTCTAGAAATTAATGTGCAAAATAATAAAGACTGCACCACTTCTAAAAATCCTCCCACTTCATATTTGGCATTGTCAACACTTCTCCTTCACCCTTCTCTGTCAGACGGCAGCTGAATTTTGCGTCTTGGCACTCCCCAACCATCAATGTACTGCGTCATCACGTAATCCATTTGTATTGAATCTTCAAGGCGTGAACGCTTTTGTGTTTCTGTACTAAACCTTCCATTGTCTACATGTGTTTCAAGTAGTACTGCTAGGCCTTAATACTTCGTTAGAGGGTGTTTAGTATTGGTTGGCTGCAAGGGCGGAGTCGAGATTTTGTTTCGGTGGGGGTAACTTAAAATTTTTAAATTTAAACTACAAATACAAATAAACTTTATTTTATGTATAGTTCCATAAAAAAAATGTCATTTAGATACACAACTCATATATATGAGCGATGTATAAAAAAAAAAAGGAGGCAACCAAAAAAACTTCATATCAAAAGATTATCTATTTCTTGACCAGGAGACAGTTATTCCAGTGTTGATTTTCTTATAAAAAATCTATCCATAACTGATTAAAAAATAAAATTTTCTAATCTATCATTAAGTTCGTAGTGAATGACATAATGTACTACACATAATTAAAATATAATCCACAATAATATAATTCATAAATCCACAATACTTGTGTGTATTTATAGCTGAAATTTCGCATCTAGTTCCTTTGTATTTGGGAGTTGTTGTACTGAATTTTTAATTGAAATAAACAAGTATTTGGATTGGAATCTGTGTGATACACTGCAGCCGATTTTGTCCTGCTCATGCTTTATTTTGTGTTGAAATTGAAGTGATACACTACAACAAAAACCAGGAACTGTTTGTTTTTCTTGAGTCGGTTTTGGTGAGACAATTGCTGCTATATACCCTAATATTAACAACTAAGTAGGTTGATTTGTTGATGAATATACCAAAGTTTTCAAGAAATTAAAAGAATGAAAGAAGTAAGGGGGTAGCGAAGAAAGATAGAATCACAGAGACCAAAATTCGAACGAATAAGACATCTACACAGGTAAAAGACGTGAAATGACCGAGCCGCAAAAGTAATGTTTAATGGTCTAAAAATTACACTAACCCCACCTATACTCTATGAAATATTTAGTGAGGGCATGATTCAAAAATTTTGAAATTTTCAAAAATTCACGTAAGTCCCAAATTTTTTTTAAAATTCCAGTGGAGACAACTGCCCCCGTACTAAATCCGCCCCTGGCTGGTTGGCTGATTACTGATCTTAACAATATGAGAAAATATATTGAAAAACAAAAACTAGTAGAACAAAGTGGAACTTTGCAGAATAAATTGTGTGGCTTAGACTTTAGTGGGGGCTCAAGACATTGTTGAAAAGATTTATATGAAAACAGAGGTAGACTCTTTTTGTGTACACTACACCAACTAGATGGCCCTTTTGTATGTCTCAGTTGGTCCTACTTAGAATGGTTAATAACTAAAATTTAGAACCCAAAACTTGCATAGAAATAAACAATGAAAAAACAGCAACTTGCAAATATAAAAAAATATTTGCCCTTTTGTGGGGAAGTATGTCTCAGTTGGTCCTACTTAGAATGATTTTTTTTTTTTAAATTAAATTTCGTCATAAAAAAATAGTTTCAAATTTAGTACTGGACAACTTTAAAACTTGAAAATCAGTTTCTAAGAACTGAAATTTTGTTTCCGAAAGTTACAAAGGAAAATTTTCTCTGTTTAACTAAAAACAGTTTCTGTCAATAAAAAAATAAAAAAGGGTAAATTACATTGACACCCCCTTAGATTGGTCTAATTACAAAGACATCCTCTCAATTTTTAAAATTACACTGATACCCCCTGCCAGGTCTTGACCCTTAACAAATATAACAAAAAAAGTGACTTTTCAGAATTACACTTACCATGCATTATTTTTTACTTCTCATTCTCTCATATATTTAAATGGGTCATTTTCGAATTCAACCCGTCAAACTCGAAATTGACACGATCAACCTGTTTATTTAATCATGTTGAATTTTCTTTATTTTCTTATTTGTATGTTGACACAAACAATACGAAATTTACACAATCAATATGTTTAACTGGTATTATAAAAATAAAATATTAAGTATTGTTTATTGTTTATTAAGCACTCACATAATTATTGTATAAAAAATATATTTTTACTCATTATTATTGCTATATTTATTAAGTTAATTTTTACTTTATAAAAAAAAAAGTATGAGTATGGATTCAATTAAGTGATAATAGAATCTTAACGTTAAATTTTTTTACTCAAAGTTTATATGGGTCAACACGAATATGAACACACCCGCACACGTAGTCCAGCGGTGTATAATTGAACCTAGATGAACCGTAAACCCGGACATCAGGGGTTCAACTCTCGTTCGTTGGTGTCTCTCGGGCTTAACTGATCCCTTTGGTTTGCGGGTGATTGCAGATATTTGTAATTTACTCTTCCCGGAATAGGTCCAAAGTGGTCCTGCCTTGGAGAGGTCTCACATTATTAAAAAAAACAAACACAAATTCAAAGTCGAACGCAAATACGACACGAAAATAAACATGTTAACCTAATGTAGTTCAGAGATAAGATGAGTATTAAAATATAAAAAATTGATGATATAATTATTTTTTTGACATTGCCAATAACGATAATAACTATAGGAGTACTTTGTGAAATGAATAGGTAATAGTGTAATTTTAGAAAATTGTCTCTGTAATTAGATCAATCTACAAGGGGTGTCAGTATAATTTATCCCAAAAAAAAAAAAAACTAAACAATTTTCTTCAAAAGTAAAACAAAAAACTGACCACTTTCCTTGAAGCGAAACTTGGAAACAAGTATTAAAAAAATAGTTAACAATTTTTCTGAAACATATAACAGGTTTATGTTTGGGAAAAAAAAACAATCTGACTACTTATTTAGAAGGGGGAAAAAAAAGGTTGTACAAATAGTGGCAGTTCTATTTGAAACCAAAACATATTGTAGGAAAATAGTTTTTGTAGTTTTGGGAAAAAAAACTGTTTTTATTAACTAAAACTAGAAAGCAGTACCATTGTCTGCATTAGCAAAATCAAAAACAGTTTCTGACATTTAGACTTGGAAATCTGTTACTGGGGGAAAAAAAAAACAGCTGCTGAATTGAAAACAGTTTTGTATTTCTATCAAAAACAATCTCTTTTGAAAACATGTTATTGTAAGTTACAACTTATGTAACCTATTTTCTGCCCTGCCATCACTTATGCCTTTCTTTTATGGGCTTGGTATATTTTCTAGTAATTTTGGTTCTAGGCTGAGGCTGGTCATCTTGGTGATTTCAATTTCGATTTCGATCTATGAGGGCTTTATACTTGTGTGGGAACCTAAACCTTTGGCAGCAACTTTTGAAGATAATCAATCCAGTTTCATTTGATCACACTCCCTCCCTGCATGAGATATATAACCTTAGTATTAAAACCAGGTAAAAGAAAGAAAAACAAAACATCACTGCAACAAAAATACAAAGCACCAACGAGCATGAAAACAAGCACTTTTGTCCCACAAATTTTAAGCTTAGTCATCACATGATAAGTTTCACGAAGACACATAAATCACCAATAAAAGTGATGATGATGGATTTAAGTCTGAGCCTCCTCCAAAACCCAAAATCTTTTTGGGCTCACATAAGACGACTCAAGTATCTCACCCAAATAGCACT